TTTATTTAGCGCAATTAGACAACTACAGCTGTTTACCATACTGTTATTTTTACACATTAAACACACTGAAATGCTTCCTGAGATTTACTATTTAACCCATATAGCAGGTTCTGTATCTTCTGTGTTTAATTACTTATCTTCCCTCCAAGCAGGCGCATGCACAGATGCTTTAATGAATTTACTAGTCTGCTGTTGGCATAAAATAGCGTCAAGCACAATTTAAGATATGACATTCCTTGTATGAGTTTTTTTTTTTTTTTACAACATAATATAGTTAAGTAATGTCACACGAGCAAAGAACACTATTTTCCAGAATATCAGCACAGTAATATTCATTCAGAATTATTAGACACAATATTGTCAATTTTGGCTGCTTTTGCACTATTTTGCCAATGAAAATAGTTCCAAACAAAGATCACAGCACTGTTTTCCGTCTCTGAGCAATGGACGGTGTTTAATTACTGAATGAATCAGCTTTTTGAATGAATCGGTTGAATACATGATTCAGTGATTCATTCATTAACATAGTCAAATGCTTTGTTCCTGAATGAATCAGCCGTTTGAATGAACAAGTAATATTCTAACGGTGACTTCAACTTCTACCAAAGTCATTTTCTGGTAAGATATCTGTACTTTTACTTGAGTATGTCTTTCAGGTACTTTATACACCACTGAGCAGCAGTAAGATCAGCTATTCATCGTGTGCCAACAGCAGGCAGCAACTCACAGACTAGAGCTGATGGAGTCAACACAGGTTTAGTAAATCCATTCATGAAAAATGTCCTATTCATATGAAGATTCCTGTTCAGAGCCAGCTTGTTTTTAACAAAACAACATAAAATAATAAAATAAAATAAAAAAATAAAATAAATCCACTTTTAGAAAAAAAAAAGTCCTATATTGACCTGTTCAGTGCCATTTTAAATAAAAATTATTTTAATAAAGTAAACTAAAAAAAAAAACATAAAATAAAGTAAAATAAATAAAAATAAAATAAAATAAAAGATTCTTTACTGTTTAAAGAAAATTTAAAAATTATTAATCAATTATAGTTTTACAGTTGCAACATAAACTATTTATTAACTAGATTTTTAGATTTTCTGAAGTCTGTGCAGTACTCATTGGGGTTAATTAGTGACTCCATCTGTACATTACATCATTACGCCAGTAGTTATTTTTTTGAGCGAATCACTGAATCATTCACTCAACCGATTCATTCAAGTTCATGTTCATTCAAGTGAGTGAGTCACTGAATCATTCACTCAAAAGATTTGTTCAAAAACATTCACTCTGAAACAAAACAAGTGATACATTCAGCAACAAAACCTTTATGAGTGAGTCATAAAATCATTCACTCCAACGATTCGTTCAAAACAGATTCATTTAGGAATAAAACACCTATAGTTGCTTAGAGATGCACAATGGTTCTTGCTGTGACTTTGCTTGTAATCATTTTTGGTAAATGTAAATTATAAATGTTTTTTATAATACACAACTGCAATATATAATATATTATGATAGAAATTCAAAGAGAGAGCGAGAGAGTGAGAGAATCTGGTGCACATATCAAAAGAAGAACAGAATGTGTTTCTTGGTTTCTGGAAAGAAGGCGTGTAAATTACAGATGTGCAGTTGAGTTTGACAGCCCTGCCACATCTTTAACTGAATGCATCCGGATGGTCAGGTCATGACACCTGTCCCATAAAGCACAGCACTCTCTCAAGAAGGCATGTTACGGCGTCTGTAAATTTTCAGGTGCACAGAGTGAGGCCAGGGGAAAAGCGCAAGGGGTGTGACATGGTCCTGTTTCAAACAAAGAGAAAAATGTGTGCCAGGTGTAGACATACACACACTTTGGCAGGATAGTCTTTACCTGTCAAACAACAGGCCGAGACACATATATACACAAAAGAGGGCTGTCCTTCATGTAAACCTGCACCTTTGGCGGAAATTTACAACCTTCTTTTTTTACTGCCGAAGGATGGCTGACATTGTCTGCTACATGAGGGCACGACGGTTATAAATCATGCAGCACACTCTCTCCTGCTCCTTTCACTGCTATGAAAGAAGAAACGAGCAGCAGAGACATGTGGAAAAATGCAGAATCAATAGCAACACAAGAAGCATGGGAGGAGCATTTAATATGTAAAAAATTATATAATCTGGGATCTAGTACAGTGGTTTTTAACTGGTTTTGCTTCAGAATTTTACCCTGGGCATGAAGTGCTGACCCAAGACATTATCAAAACAGTTTGTCATAAACAGAAATATTCCAACATTTATTAAAATATCACTGAAAGTTATATTATTTATTCTTAATATATAATACAGAATAAAATAATGAACAAAATACTATTTTCAGCCAATAATTCACTGCACAAAAAGAATGTTTTGAATGTAGTCTAGCATCAGTTTGCTTGTTAGTTTTTTTTGTTTTTGTACTTTGTTCTTGGTTTGAAGACGTTGGCAAAAAAACTTTTTTTTTTTTTTTTTGGACAGGATTTGATGATAATAATAGATGATATGAGAAATGTTATTTCCTCTCTTCTAAAAGTTTGTAATAGTGTTATTTTAGTATCATTGATATACTACTGTCACGTGTTGGTTTCTGTTTATTTCCTGTCTGCCCTTATTTGGTTCAGTTCCTGTTCTCATTTTCTTTGTGAGGACCAAATGCAGTATAATTCAAGTTAGTTGACCTGTCCAGTATTTGGCCATATCATCAGCTATATTGGATTTTTCTTTCATGGGAACATGTCATGTCAAAATATACAACATTTATACAAAAATTCATACTTTATACGGACCCCCTGGCCTTATGTCAAGGACCACCAGGGGTCAACGGACCCCTGGTTGAGAAACACTGGCTTAGAGTTGTGAACCGGCTCAACCGGTTACTTCCTGAGAACCGGCTCAAAAGAACGATTCGTTCAAGAACCTAACATCACTAGAGCACAGTACCTGTGACAACTACTTTTTAATAATATTTTTTTCTGTTTTTTATTTTATTTTTAGTGTAGGTTTTAGTAATTCTGTTGTGCGTTTTCAGTAGTTTTTGTTTTAATATATATGGCTATTTTATTATTTTTTATTCTTTTTTTCACTTTATTTTTTTATTTCAGTTTTAGTTTGAAGTTATTTTATTAAACCAAGTTACTAAATTAAAATAAATTATAATGAGGAATGTTGCATTGGCAGTTAGGTGAGATCAAAGATTTTTTTTACATTTTTATTTCAGTTAACATTTTATTTTATTTTTCTTTAAGTTTTAGTTTTAGTTACCTATAATAACCCTGGTTCGTAAGTCTATGTATTTGCTATTTTCCAATTTATGCATAATTAAAACTATAGTTGCAGATAATTATTTGCATTCAATATTGTTTTGTCCTTCTGTCTGCAGCACACCAGTGGAAAAGCACAGATCTAGTACATCCACTCGGTATCCACCAGCGTGGTTGATATGAGGCCAGTAAATCACATTGGAAGCCTCTTAACCTCTCTGTGATCTGGACATTAAAGAAATATTTACAGTGTTTGAGCAATACATCTACAGTAAGAACCCTCACAGGGATTAAGAGCGCAAAAGCAGTATAACAATTCATTCTACAGATGAGGCTAAATGTCATCAATCATAATTGTTTATCCCTCATGTAAAACCAAGTACCACATCTCAGAAACAGAGGCGCTGCCAAATGGTTTCTACTGTAAATGCTTTCTGCACGTTGACACATTTGACAGACGGGTAAAACAAAACAACGGACAAACGAGGAGAAACTGAAACTTTTTTCCAACAGGAAATCCTCTCACGAATATTAACTATAAATGGAATGAAATTAGCATTTGAGCAGGATATTAATCATGTTCCCAGGCACCTGTCAGTGAGCTAAATGGATAAAACAAGCAGCCAATCATCATCAACATACAACTGATGTGATTTAAACAGCCTATCAGGAGGCTGGAGGGATTCTCTCACAGATCTGACACTTGTTCTCCATCTACAAATATAATATATAAATCAACATGAAATGATATTCAAAAATTTTACTTCCATTACTTCCATTTTACTTCCATAATCCATAAAGATATGTGTATTAGGAGGCATTTCATAGGTAGAGATTTTAATTAAAAACTACAAAGTTTTTCTTTGGAATAACGTGCACCAATTCATCATATTTGAAGAAAGTAAACAGAGATTATTTTGTTTTTACTGTACACACACAACTTCTAGCCCTCTAGTTCACTTTTCTCTCTAACATATCAACTAGTGCGGCGTCTAAAGTGAGCTAGATTAGTATCTTATTTCACCCAAATGACATCAAAGGGAGATGCGTCTCCTGCTAAAGTTAAAGCTGAGGTTAGCACTACTGTCACACTATCTTAACTTCCGAAAGGGCTTTGCTTCCTCTGACCTGAGGACAACGAATCAAACCGCAGATGTTTGAGATTGTGACAGGAAGATTAGTGATACCCCAAAGCCATGTTAAAGTCTCCGTTTAGAAACATGCTGAGGGTATGTTCTCAGACAAAGCGTGTGAAAGGATTTCACCTGGATGACAGTGTGATCAGAAGGTAGTGTACAGTAAAAGTTACTCTCATATTCTAGTTAAGCTTTTTTTGTCAAATGAATTAAAAAATAATGAAGATCTGTTGGAAGTTGTATTTTCAAGCTCTTGCTCATACAACTCATTTTCTGCTCGCTAGACATTTATATAGAATATACTGACATATTATAATGTGCTTCCTTCAATCTGGTCCTTAAATTTTCTTTACTTAGTCTTAAAAAAGTCTTAAATTGACCTTCATAAAACCTGCAGAAACCCTGCTTTGCTTTAACTGAAAGGCAGGATTCCTTCCTTTCGTTTTGGCCTGTCTTCTGGCATCTAAGCAGTGGGTACAAAGAATAAGATGGAGCAGAGGAAGATAAAATCACAGTGCCACCACAGCTGTAGCCCTCTGATACAAATAAATTCATAAAATCCAGCTGCTGTAGAAGACCTGATTTATTAGAGGCTCTCACGAAAACGAGAGGTTTTTAGGTTTCACATGAGCCATTCGTCTCCCGCTATCTTCCAGCACTCGACTCCAGCTCAGATAAAAGCCCATGATCTATATCCTCGCCCCCTCACGGCCCCACCGGGCAACAGAGACCAGAGCACGAATCACTTGACTGAGGAGAGGATGTCTTTCCCATAGTACAGTATGACATAATGCCTGTTTCAAAAGACAATACACACAATCTTAGCAGCAAATGATTCACACTAGATTGGATGATTCTTTACAGAGAGACAGCTATGGGAAAAAGGTCACCCGGTGATCCGAGCATCTCATTTGACACCATTACTGTGACAACACCAGCCAGTGCCTGTGCATTTGTGCAAGTATGTTTGCACATGTGAGAAATGTCCTGTTGACAACAGACAACTGTGACGATGAGTGCGAGTGAAGGATCGAACTCGAGAGGACATGCAAACACTCTCAGTGTTTGACCCTGAATCCCTTACACCACCTGTATGACTGTGAAAAGACAGACAGAGTTTTTATGCTGGCTACAGATGTGATTCAAGCTCATCAGATATTCAGACCATGGTGCAAAATGCCGCAGAAGGGCAGCTTGCTCAAGGGAAGCTGTCATTTCTTAAGACTACGCTCTCTTATAGTAGGAAGGACTCATTTTAGTAGATAAAATTCAATAAATCTATCTCTTGTCTACTTGAATCATGTGTTTTTGAATCAATCTAGAATGCTAACAGAATAAATCTTATATGGTGACTACAAATCATTGGCTGCTGTGTGAAATTAGCATTGTGCTTTTTCATTGGACAACATTACATGAAAGCTGTCACTTTTTAGCTGAGCAAATTAGCATTCATGCTACATGGAATATTTTTATTTGAACTAATTAATCTAATTTGTGATTTGATTCAACTGTCAAAACTTACTGATCCTATGTTTGAATATGTGTACTTCCTCATTAGTGTCAAAAACTATACAACTGATGAGTAGTTTGCTCAAATCCCAGCCCAGGCTCATTGGAAAAACATGCCTGCTGTGACATTTCTGCAAAATGATATTACTTTGTTTCTTTTACATTTCACAACACTTTCAAAGTAAAATGTTCAGTGAGTGGTGCTAAAAACTGTTTCAGTTTTTACCCAGAACAGATTCATGTGAATCTGGCTTAACAAGCTTATGTTGCCAAATGTGCAGTATGCATGAAACAGTACGCCAAAAATAACCATATGACGTACTACTTCAGCTAAGATTCTCAAGTATGCATCCAATGGACACGTTACTATCCTACGAAGCCATAACAGCAACATAGCACAGTAGGTCAAATAACAATGCTAATGTCCAGATTGTATCCAACACACCTGCACACTTACAGAACATACCTGATTAACAGCCAAGATATGTATTTCATCAAATGCAGCACATACTCTGACAGTAATTCAAAAGCAGATGTACACTCTTAAAAATAAAGTTTCCAAAAGGATGTTTTCGAAGAATCATTTTTGGTTCCCTAAAGAACCTTTCTGTGAAACATTCTTAAAATAACCATTTTTTCTTAGTGTGAAGAACATTTTAAAAATCTAAAGAATCCCTTTTCACTTTAAAGAACCTTTTGTGAAATGGAAAGGTTCTATGCATGTGAAAGGTTCCTCATGGCAAAAAAAAAAAAAAAGAAGTTTTATTTTTAAAAGTGTAGCACAGAATTGTAACAAACCACAGCCTGCTGATCTAAGTATGCAGCATAGTGAGGTCATGTGACATAAAACCCAGAGTCTTACCTGGCAAAGAAGGATGCAGCAGCGGAGGTGCCACTGGAGGGCGCTGTGGTGACCGGGGCAGGAGGTGGAGCAGCAGGGCTGCTGTATGCACTGGGTCGGTCGGTGTTATAGCGGTTGAGCGCGGCTTCATTAAGACCCTCCCGGTTGCCTTCTGACACCATCTGAGAAATCTGTATGCAAGTAAACATGGGTATTAAAAACAAATCTGCAAAACGGCCAACTAAATAAGAGCAAATGACTCTATTTACAGATAAACAAATGCAGTATAGCTCAGGTAATGTTCTCAGTTTAGTATTTTATGTCCCCCATGACACCTATTTTCCCTGATATGCATGGGAAAAGGGGTGAAAACTCATTCTATTTGTGTTTGAACTACAGCAGCGTCTCTCTGGAAAGCGTCCCGAGTCACGCAGTGGTGGAGAATAAGTTTAGCACAGATTCTGCCAGGCCTTCAGATAAACAACTCAGCTTAGATGTGAGTCATGAGAAACAGCCCTGATAATTGCGCTGTGAAGGGCCAACAGCACGGCTGGCTTTCTTAAACAAGCATTCAGCCAGACCCACTCAGGGAGATTTGGAAATAATCCGGACACCCTCCCCTGCCCCGGCTGTAAATAGATGGTGAGGGCACTGCTGTTGCTGTGGGCCGGGGTCTGTCGTTTCGCCCCAAATAAGGACACACGAGTCCCTGAGGAGGATGAGCTGTGCTGTACAGTGAACCAGCCGCCCTCTGTGTGTTTACCCAGAATGCTTCACAAATGTAGGAAAATATCACCCAGATAAGCTTGGATGGACAGTGAGAGAATCCAGATCTGTGCATTTGTTGATAAAAATGTCCAGCATTGGACATACATGCATCACAAGACAATTTGGTCATGTATGTATGTGTGTGTGTGTGTGTATATATATGTATGTATGTATACACAAGTAATACATTACAAAACTATTAATATAATGATGAATCTAACAAGTTTTGTAACAAATTTTTAAGACTGATTTTAATGTGATCTTTATAAAAATGACTAATTATACATGAATACTAAAACAACAAAAATGAAATGTAAAATTGTAATAAATATGAACCCCTGGAACATAAAAGTAGCAGAATTTGAAGAAACAGCCAATTGTGATTTGTTTCTGCACAACATATCTCATCAAATTAAAGACGACCAGTACCAACAGTGACTTTCACACCTCGGAGAATGAGTGAGTTTAACCTGAGGTGTTCACAGCCAAAGGCTCATGGTGTCTTCACAGCCTCGCATGTGTTATTTCAGTCTGGCTGCAGGTATGATGGCAAAATGCACAGCTGTTTAAAAATACTCCGTGATAGCACATGACTGACAGGTATATTTAGCAGTGTCTGCACTCACTACAGTTCCTTAACACTGCATTGGTCTGGGCAGACATCCATGTGACAGTAGGTGTGTTCGCATTTGACAACTGTTGGAGTTAAACGTCTGGAATGAAATGTCACGGGAATAACCACAAACCATTAATAAACCTGATAATGTGCAGCTAATAATGAACACAATATTGATCATTTGCCAACAAATAATCAGTTTTATATAACTGGTCATCATAAACAGTATTATCCTACTACATAGTGAAGAACGGGTCAGTCTAGAAGGCCTAGTACAGAGGGCAATATGAGAAATATTAAAAAGCTTTTATACCTTATTAATGAATGGATTAAGCTTCTACATAAAGCTAAATCCTGCTCATTCGGTGCACACTTATCAAGCGATGATCTGATGATATAATAGTCATTATCTAATTCTGATCACGCAAATCTCCCACCCCAAGCCAAGCCAGAACAATTATGGAAACTAAGCCGCAAAAATGGGTGTTTTGAAGCCAGATTCATGAGCAAATTAACATATATAAGCCTATTAAGTGTTCAGAAACAGTCAATCATAACGGATAATTTAGAAGTCTTAAAGAAACAGTTCACCCAAAAATGAAAATGTGCTGAAAATGTATTCACCCTCAAGCCATCCAAGATGTAAATGAGTTTGTTTCTTTATCAGAAGATTTGAAGAAATGTAGCCTTACATCATTCGCTCACCAATGGATCCTCTGCAGTGAATGGGTGCCATCAGAATGAGAGTCCAAAGGTAGCCAGAAGTCATGATAAATTTGTTTCTTACAAACACGCAGCTTTTCACTTCACAAGACGTTAAATGATGGACTGGACTGGTGTGGATTACTTGTGGATTATTGTGATGTTTTTATCAGCTGTTTAGACTCTCATTCTGACGGCACCCATTCACTGCAGAGGATCCACTGGTAAGCAAGTGATGGAAAAAAATTCTCCAAATCTGTTCTGATGAAGAAGCTCATCTACATCTTGGATGGCCTTAGGGTGAGTATTTCAGCAAATTTTCATTTTTGGGTGAACTATTCCTTTAAAGTTACAGTAACAAAAACAGCCTGTTTAATTCTCAAAAAAATCTCATAAACCAAATAATGCAATAAAAGTGTACAAATATGGACTTTATGAAAAAACTTTAATGAATCTTCAGTGAATGTTTATTTTCATTGAGCTAAATGGCAATTCTATCCTCAATGGCAGCATTGAAATGACTCAGCCCTGCTCACAGCCAGTCAAATCTTTTGGGAACCTACGGCTGATTTGCCATCTGTTGTGCAGGAATGAGAAGAAGGAGCATCAAATACCAGCAGTGCCAAGAGCACAGATTGCACCTCTCAGCCCATCCTCCCATCATCTCTCCATCCATTCTCCTGCCTCACTTACTTCTCCTCTCTCTCCTCTGTCTGATAGTAGCCCTTTGTTTGCCCAAATGTAATGCCCCCATCCATCTATCCATCCATGTTTAACTGTTTGACATTGACTTTGACCTTCATACTCTTTTTGCTGGTCCATATGGCTTTGTAAAGCCAAATTAAAAGTCTTAGCATTGCTGATATCAGCCAGATAAAGGTTATTCGAAGATCAACAGATAGCTGGTTACATTGTAAGTCTTCTGTCCAAGTTCTCCAGTTACAAATAATGCACTGTAAATGTTTTCTTACAGTTTTTTTTATATGAACAAAAAGAATATGTTTACGCTATCCCATATATTTAAGTTATAAATTTAGCGCTTTGTATTCTTAAAAATTTTTTTTTTTTCAAACTTACAACTGGTTAGTAATTAATAAACAAATAAAAAAAGAAAAGAAAATTTAAGTTATAAATTTAGCGCTTTGTATTCTTAAAAATTTTTTTTTTTTTTCAAACTTACAACTGGTTAGTAATTAATAAACAAATAAAAAAAGAAAAGAAAAGAAAAGAAAGGGATCAGTTTAGGAACAATGCATGTTAAAATATCTGTTATTAAATTATAAAATATATATATATTAATCTAATTGCCTTTGAAAAATAAATACTAATCTAATCTTATTGTCATCTACAGTAATTGACACAATCCGTATTTTTATGGAATTATACAGCAGATTGTTCATATCCATGCAAAGAATTGTCTAACGCTAATCAAGTCTTATTTTGGAAAAAGAGATGCAGATTATCAATAGAGGATACTGTATTTTATGAACTTTAAATCTTGAGAAGATAAATGTGATATATAATGTCTTAGTATGTTATAAAATTGCAAATACTAAAGAGAGCAATCTCAATATTGCAGAAAAATATCACTCTAGTGATTTATTCAAGCATATTAGAATGCCCTGAGCACAATTATAGCAACTTCACCGCAGATGACGGATTGCCAAGTACGCCCCTGTGCATGTGTGAAATCAATATCCAGCTCTTGTAATTTTATGGATGTCTCATTTCATGTGTTTCAACAGCAGGCCGGCCACCCCGTGTGACTACACGGGCTCCAGGTTTGCATGAGACCGGGGCCAAGTGCAGGTGTGATGGATGAGGAAGGTAGAGAACATTTGTAAGAATGGAAGTTTCCTGATGCAGCAGAAATACCCAAGAGAGGAATGGAAGGATCTAAAAAGAAGCCCTTGAGTGGAGGTTTCTTTCCACCCATTTCCCCAGCGGCCCCCCTGCACACCCACAAGAAGAGACTTCTTCATTCATCATAATTAAAGCCGGAACCCACTGCACTGCCTGGATACTCCTTTCCTGGATATGTTAACTATTCTTCACCATCCCTTGAGCGCTCTCTATATCTGTCTGTGACAGTTCACATTCACTTCTCAATTCAGATGGGATGGAAAACTGGACTTACAGTCCTGGATAGGAATAGCACACTGGAGATGGGCTGCAGAAAGAAATAAAACCATGGGATATGCTAAAAAGGAATGACACATGTTTTTCACTGAGGTACAGTATAAAAAAGTACAGTAAGTATCTTAGTACAGTAGTTAGTGTGAATATGAAAAATTTACATTTGAATGGCCACATTCCACAGGAATCTAAATATGAGTTTGAATAGAGGAAAATTAATTTACTAAATTGCAACTCAAAGAAGTTCAACTCAGCAAATTCATAATCCATCTATCGATTGATTGATTGATTGATTGATTGATTGATTGATTGATTGATTGATTGATTGATTGATTGATTGATTGATTGATTGATTGATTGATTGATTGATTGATCGATTGATTGATTGATTGATTGATTGATTGATTGATTGATTGATTCATTCATTCATTCATCAGTCAATCGATAGATGGATTTTGACCAACCTACTGACTGTCCGTCCATCCATCCATCCGTCTTTCTATTTGCCTATCCATAAGCTCACCCATTTTTGTATCCATCTGTCCATCCATCCATCCATCTGTTCCTCAATACATCCTTCCATCTTTCTATTCATTTATTCATCCATCTATCCATCAATCTGTCGATCTGTCCATCCATCCATCTTTCTATTCATCTATTCATCCATCAAATCTGCCCATCTATCCTTCCATCTGTTTTTCTATTCATCTATCCTTCCATCCATCGTCCATCTTTCTATTTATCTATTCATCCATCAATCAATCAATCTATCTGCCCATCCATCCATCCATCCATCAGTCAATCAATTAATCTTTCTATCTGTCCATCCATCTTTCTATTCGTCTATTCATCCGTCTATCCATCAATTAAATGATCACTTATTTTACATTTTCAAACAAGGCTTTGTCAAGTCAACCTTTAAATTTTTCTAGTTAAAAATTATTCATACAAATTTCTTTGAAATTCCAT